TGGGAGGCCTGGACACTGCCTCGTGCCTCCCGCTTCCCTGGGAACGAGGAGCTGGGTGAGAGGAGGGGGAGGGGCGAGGAAAGTGCAGAGGAGGCGGGGTGGGCTGGCAGTTGCACAGAAAACCACGACCCAACACCCCCGAATGGGCTGAGAAAAGCACATCGGCCCGTCGACCCTCGACAAAGGTGTTAGTTTGGAGAGGTGTCGGCCGGGCTGCCCAGGCGCCTCTGCGTCCGAGAAGTGCGAGTTGTCCGCGCGATGCAGGAAGCGCAAGAGGTCGTCAGCGCGCTGCAGCTCCAGCCACCTCTGGACAGCCGGGAAAGTAACGCACAGAGAGAACAGGAGGCAGGGGGGAAGTGGCGACGATCAGGAGGGGAGGACCAGAGAGAGGGAAGTAGAAAGCAGAACGGGGTAGGGGTCCTGTAAAGGCTGAAAGCCATGAGTCCCTGGGATATGCTCTGGCAGCTACAAAAGGCCAGGCACCTCCATGGAGTCCGGCTATCTTCTCAGACTGCCTTTCCGAAACCCCGATAATTCGGAAAGACCGTCGGCAAAAAGAGGCCATGTATGTGCCAACGATGTGCAGACAACTAATGGTATGAAGTCACAGGGGGAATCGGACGAGCCATGGGGGAAGGAGAAACTTCGCATCAACATTCGACGAGCCAAACGCTCTTGGGGCGGGGTGGCCCAGCGGAGCGGGCGGAGAACATAACGTTCCGATGAGTGCGCAGGGAAGCAGCCATGCGCGCGGGCAACGAAGAATGGTTCCCTCAAAACTGCTGCGGACTCGGCCGCGGATGCATCGCTCATGTCTTCTGCGTTCCCCAAACAGCGCTTGCACTTGAAGGATCTGCTCTCGTGCAGAAATGATTGGCCTGCTGTTATTGGGTTTCGCCGTGTGCCCGCCCGTGAACCAAACAAAGGATAGCATGCTCCGCCCCAAGCCGAGGACGTTCTCAACGGTCCGGTTTCTTGTAATGTGTTTCCATGTTTTTCCATGTTGCTCCATCGTGCCTTATGAACCATCAAACCACTCCATGGGGGACTACACTAGGCCCTCGGGTACGCCTAAGGGGAGGGCCTCGTAGGGCGACAAATATTTGAATACTTGAACGCTCGAGAAACACTGTAAGAACGGTTTTTTGAAGGCAGATCTGCCTTGTAAGAACGGTTTTTTGAAGGCAGGTCTGCCTTCAAGAACGGTTTTTTGAAGGCAGATCTGCCTTCAAAACATGGTTTTTTGAAGGCAGATCTGCCTTCAATGTAAGAACGGGTTTTTGAAGGCAGATCTGCCTTCAAAAAACCATTGTTTGAAGGCAGATCTGCCTTCAAAAAACCGTTCTTTGAAGGCATCATCCCATTGACAACCTGATGGCGAAACTCACTGGGCTGCGATTGGAGGCGCGCCTCCCCCCAGAGGTGCGCCATGGCGCGTGGACCGTGTCTCGGTCGGGCGGGGTAAGAGGCACCCAAGACGCCCCCGAAGAGACCCCAAGAGATCTATTCTGTAAGAACGGTTTTCTGAAGGCAGATCTGCCTTGTAAGAACGGTTTTTTGAAGGCACATCTGCCTTCAAAAAACCGTTCTTTTGAAGGCAGATCTGCCTTCAAAAAACCGTTCTTATTGAAGGCAGATCTGCCTTCAAAAAACCGTTCTTACAGAGGCATCGGATCCTCGACCCAAGCGCTGTGGCAGGATCGCCCGAATCGGAGGCCAGTTGATGAGGATGCTGCGGGGGGGGGGGGGGGGCGTTTGTAGCGGACCAACGCTATGACGATTTTGGCGATATCTATGGTTGGCCGCGCTTCTGGTTCTATGTAATTAGAGGTAGCCCACGGAGGCGTCGACGACCAAACGTTCGCCTCTTCTCCCAAACGTCGTCCCCATTGTTTCCGCCTCCCTCCTCTTGCTTCGCCTTCCTTCGTCTAGCCCGCCCACCCCCTCCCTCCCTCTTCCCTCACTGGCCTCCCCCGTGCCCTCCCCCCCCCTTCTGTCCCCGGGCGGTAACAGAAGGAGGGCCGGGGGGAGAGGAAGGCGAGGGTGGGAAAGCAGCAGAAGGCGCAAAGGGGAGGGAGGAGGGAGGGCAGGGGGGCGGACACGCGAGAAGGAGAAGGAGAAAAAGGGGAACTGGGAGGGAAGGAAGGAACAGGAGAGGGAGGGGAGTATATGCTACGACGCGTGCGCACTGCAAGCACTAGGAGATCACGCAGGAAATATAACCAGGAGCCTCAACAGGAACCCGATGCAGAACATGGACCAGGAAGATGTAGCATGAAATTAAACAGGAAATTGAGCAGGGATGGCAGCGGCAAAATTAACAGGGGAATGAAACCATTGTAAGCAGGGAAGAGAAGGAGCAATTTAAGTTGAGAAGACCAAACAGGAAATTAAGCGGGAAAGCGACGGGGCCACTTTGAGCGCTGATGGAAGCGCTCGTTGAAGCAGTGATCCAGGCGCCGAACCCCCGCGCAAAATTAGGCCCGAACTACATCCTAATTTAGCGGCACATGCACTTCGTTACCGGAACTCCACATTGGTACCCGCAAATTGCGACGCCAATGTCCCGCTAAATTGGACATGCGCAAGGTCTGCGAAACTTGACAAAAAATTCGCGTCTTAATCAGCGACGTCGCGTGAGCCAGCCAACATTCGAGCCGCCTGGTTAATGTGTTCGAAGAATTCAAGGCGCAAAATTAACTAGGAAAATTGAACCAGAAATTGAGCAGGAAAATCCAGCAGGTATTTAAGCAGGAAGCTGAAGCAGGAAATCGAACAAGTAATTTAGGTAAGAAACTAAGCAGAACAGGTAAGCAGGAAATGATGCGGAAAATGCAGCAGGAAATTGAACAGGAAAACCAAATTTCAACTGAGCAGGTGAATCAAGCAAGAAGTTCAACAGGAAACAGAAACAGGAAAGTAAGCGGTAAATTCAAGCAGCGAGTCGCAGCTAGAAGATAAGGCCGCGAAGTAGCTCTGCAAGCGAACCTAGCAAGTTGCTGATGGATTAGCTGTCGAATTAGTTGCCGGTGTCGCCGCTTTGACCATCGTCGCCACCACGAACAGCAGTATCATAACCTTCGTCATCCTCGACGCCGCCGTCGGCATCATCCCTCGTCTGCCTGGGCACATGGATCTGCATGATCCTGGTTTGCGCGTCTCCTGTCGTTGAACTGTTCGAGCACGTTCGGATGAGACCCGAGTGCGACGTGACGCGAGGCCTGTTGTGATACACTATCTCCACGTGCGTTCGCTGCACCGATCCTTTGGCATGTACGAAGCACGCGCCCCCACCCTAACATCTATGCACAAAAAAGGAGAAGGGGGAAGCAACAAGGAAACAAACAAACAACATGCAAACACATGCGCCCAGGAAACATAATAGCTCGGGGTTAAAACGTCATAGCGTTGGTCCGCGACGAAGGCCTGTGCGTACAGAGGTACATCGTTCCGTTGCATGCGCTCCAACAGCGGCCACTACACACTGGACTGTATCTGCTTGCTCAGATAAGGCCGCACTTGAGAACAACACTCAGGACCTGAGTATAAGACCTGACCCCTAACAGAACGCAGCGGGCTTCATTCCATATAAGGGCCTTTCGCTTACTCAGGGTATCCTTCGCAATACCGTAGACCAGGCCCAACTAGCGGGGAGCAGTCAGAGCGCTGTTATTGGTCAGCCTGCTCCGCGCTGCAATCGTTAGAGCACGTAAAACGCGCATCATACTGATACATGTCCAGAGAGCTGTGGCTCGATGCCAAGTGAAGCGCTCGCGCAGGGACACCCCACACCCAGCGACCTCGACCGCGCTTGATCTCGGCATTGCCCGACGAACCCAGTCCAGCCATGTCCAAATTGGGAGGGGAAGGAGGGGACGGAGAGTCGCGGGGGAGGGACATGGGAGAGCGAAGGACGGGAGGAGCGATGGGGAGATAGCGGAGAAAAGAACACTGCTCAAAGCAACTCCCCTCACCGACATTCCAAAGTGCAGGATCTCTCCCAGCCGCACACCGCACACCAGGGCTGAACCTAAACGGTGTTTTTCGTTTTCGTTTTGTTTTTGGTTTTCCCTAGTTTTGCCTTCAATCCGCCTTTGCTGCAAAACGACATCGAAACGAAAACGGCCCACGAAATCGCCAAAACACCGGCTAGGTCCAACCCTGCCGCACACTCTCACGATGAAGCACATGCTTCGTCATTCAACTGTGCGTGTAAACACCTCACATGTACCTACGCACGTCCTCTTCAAATTCGTCGTGACGCCTGGCTGCCTAGCACGGGAGGGTTCCCACCGCGCGGTCTCCCCTGCTTCCATCGAGCGCAGCTGGGCTTTGGCCAGCGCGTCCTGGAAGCTGTGGTACGCTGAGTGCACCAGGAAAGGCACGCATGGGCCTGAGCCGAGGCAAAAGGGCGATACCGCTCACAAGCTGGATTCCCCTCCGCCTTCTACTCCTCCGGCTCCGGCTCTGACTCCGCCTCCTCGGACTCATCCAACTGATCCTGCTCCTGAACCTGTTCCTTATCGCTCGTTCTTCCCATGCTGCTGCCTCTGCTGCTCTCGTTCTCTCTCTCTCTCTCTCTCTCCCGTTCTCTCTTGCTCTCTCTCTCTGCTGCTCCACCTCCGCCTCATCCTCGTCCTCCTCCAACTACGCACTTCCTCCTCCCTCATCCGCTCAGGGCCTTCCTCCCTCCGCCTTCAGCCCCGCCTGGGGGCGAATCAAAGCGAGCATGTATGTCATATCGAGTCCGATAAATGGCCAAAGGCTCTAAGCAAGGCCGAGACGCTCGCTCGCAAGCGCTCGTAGTTCGCTTTCGACTCTAATCGCGATCGTTCACACTCGCTCATTCATTTCTCTTCTTCTTCTTCCCGCCAACCCCCTCCCTTCTACCTCCTACCTTCTTCTCGATGTGCATTCACATAATGACCCCGACTGTGTACCATCGAGCCGATCGGGTATACAAGAAAACTGAACGTACCACTAGAACTACGACCACCACCACCACAACTGCTCGGACTACTACTACTACTACAACTGCTACGACTTCTGACCACTACTAGTACACTTGATGTTACTACTGCGACTACCTGTATTGCTGATGCCCGCAATACAAGTACACCTGCTGTCGCGACTACAAATCGAACGTCTACATTGAACACTACGACTCCTACAACTACAACCTGTACTACTATCAGCACCGCCACTACTAGCCCTTACGCGGATTACTCACATAGTTCGCGAGCGCAGCGCGACATGATTCATTAATCTGGCTGCGGTGGGAACGGGAAGGGGTGATGGGGGTAAGGACCTGGGTGGATCTGAGATGATGCCTTAGCTTGGACCGCCTCACCCCTTCCTCAAACAGTGGCTCGCAAGTGTGCAGCCCAACTACGAGGTGATGCAACTCACACTTCCCTCGCACCTTGCGCGAAAGAGAGCCCTGGGAGGAACGTTAGACGAGATCAGGATCTCGTCGCAGAGCCTGGCGACATCCTCGCTGCAATCGGCCGGTTTGCACCACCAGGCCTCCAGCTGTGAGACCATGCAACAGCCCACGCGCGCTCCACTGTGTGGGAGACATGTTCCTGGACAGTCTTGTATACAGGAAGTGGCTTAGCTGATATCCTTCAGCGTACGAAGCGTATGATGTGAACGGATCCCCGCCCGAGCACACATATCCAAGTAAACTGGGAGACGATTCACCCAGCTGAGCCTGAGAGGCGAAAATGATTAATATTTGTGCTGGGCATGGACCATGTGGGCACCATCTGCTCGGACTTGTTTGCTACGCTTGACCAATCGAGGGAGCGCAAACATGCATCTGCGCCGCGTGGGTTAGCGACGGGTCGGATGTCCGTACAGATTCGGAACGCCCCGTCGCGAAATGAGGCGGCACTGGCCTCATGTGTCGGGGGTGCCGTCCCCGATCCATGGATCTGATGCTCACGCGCCATGTTCACGAACCCCTAGTACATATTAGCGTGCACCCGAACCAAGTCAACCGAGCATTCGGGAGTACGCAGGGCTACAGTATCTACGGTGGAGGTTTTAGATAAGGATACCTTCGAGAAGGAACCCAGGGTCTCGCAACCGATGGGCGGCCAAACGTGGGCCACTCACCTCGCCTTGAGACAAGAAGGAATGCGCCAGGGTCTGGGCCCCAGAAGCACGTTCCTTGTCCAATGCCGCCGCCGTAACTTGCATGCCACAATGGCCCCCTGGCACGTTTAAGCGTTCTGGTATGTCCCGTGCTCTCTCGCAGGTTTCTGAAAAAGTCGAATGGACCCCCCTCCCACCCTCCGGCCCTCGCCGCACTTCGTTGCATGCACTGCCCCCCTCTCCCGACTGCCTGGGCGGCCCAACTCCTCCCTGGGGCGATCAAGCGCTCTCCACGGATTGCAGGCCGCCAAGGTGACCCAACCTTGCCTCAAGAGGCACCCAACAGCCCCAAAGAAAACCGCAAGATGCGCCAAGGTGGCCGCACGAGGCATCCAAGACGCAACAAAAAGACCGATGGGCTCTTGGGTAAACCAACATCGTTTGGAGAGGCATGCGATCCTTCCGTTACGACCTATTCCAGTGCGCTTCCTGGACACGTCGGCTCAAGATAGCTCAAAGAGGGCCCCGGAGCAGTCAGAGGGAGGCCACGAAAGACCTCGCTGGGAGCTCCAGGGAACCCTCATGCGGCCCAGAACCGCTTCGCGAGCATTCTCCTGCGGCCCAAGAGGGGCCCAGGCCCCCCCGGCGGTCCGAGCGAGCCCCAAGAGGTCCCCAAAACAGCTCAAGACGGCCCGGGAGGGCTCGAAGACGGCCCGAGAGAGCCGCAAGACGGCCCCAGGAGGGCCCCGAGAAAGCCCCAGGAGGGCCCCACAGGAGCCCAAGACAACCCCCAAGACGGCCCAGGTAGCCCCCACGAGATGCCCCCCAAGGAGGAAGGGCAGAGGTGTCGCAAGCTACAGCCTTCTGGGCAGTGCTCGAAGCGTCGCCACGCTGGGTGCTGAGCCCGCACGGTGGCGAGACTTGCCACAGGCAGCGTCATAATTCAGCAGTCCTCCCCGTCAGCAGCCTGATTCGGCTTTTGAAAACGTGTATCGGGAATGCTGGGATGGGGAGGGGGACAAAATCACAAGCTGACGTACGCGCATGTATCAGCAACGCCAGCCGGCCCTTGCAGTGTGTTCAAGCAGTTCTGCCAGAACATGCCAGTCTAAGCGATGTGCTTCCCAACTGCGCGAATTAAGATAACTGATCCAACACGCCAACTGTAAAACACAAGTCTGGTTCCTGCATGCCGGTATGCCTGCAACGCTGGGGCGCAAAGGTGTCACTGCAGGCTGGCTTGGCGAATCAGCACGAAGCCCTGGCATACATCCCGTCGGCAGATCATGAACTCACGTCGGCGGAGAAGTCAGAGGCCAGTGAAGCTAAGGGGAGCAGGATGCTAGAAACATCCTGCGGGGGATATCGCGGCGCCTACTCTGCCATCTCACCTACCACACTCTCCCTCCGCCCTCCCCTCTCTGTCTTCCGCCCCCTCCACGCTCCACCGGTCTCTTCCTCCTCCGTCCCTCTCGTCCTTGCCTTCTCCTTTCTCTTTCGCCGCGCCCTCCCTCCCTGCCTCCCGTCAACCGGAGAGGAAGGGGAGGCGGCGCTACCCAGCGAGCAGACAGCACCCCAACCTTTGGAATGATATGAGGATGGTGATGAGGAGGATGATGTTGAGGCTGGTGATGGTGATGGCGAGGGTGATGATGATGGTGGTGCTGACGATGATCCTCGCGTGCATGGCGAGGGTGATGATGATGACGATAATGATGATGGTGGTGATGATGGTGGTGATTATGATGGTGGTGGTGATCATGGTAATGATGCTGCTGCTGATGACGGTGACGATGATGGTTATGATGAGGCTGGTGATGATGGCATGCTGATGATGGTGATGATGAATATGATGTTGATGACAACGATGACGACGATGATGATGATGATGGTGATGATGGTGATGATGCTGGTGATGCTGGTGATGATAATGATGTTGATGATGACGATGTTGATGATATTGATAACGGCGATGACGCTACTCTGATGATGGTGAGGCTGATGGTTATGATGCTGATGATGTTGACGATGATTATAATGGTGATGGCGCTGCTCTGATGATGATGACGATGGTGAGTGATGCTGATCATGCTGCTGATGATGATGATGATGATGATGATGTTGATGATGATACTGGTGGTGATGATGAGGACGAGGATGAGGATGCTGATTGTGATAGTGGTCATGATGATGATGATGATGATGAGGAGGAGGAGGAGGAGGAGGAGGAAGAGGAGGAGGAGGAGGAGGAGGAGGAGGAGGAGGAGGATGGACACCCCCCTCCGGCGGACGGCCTCCGCTCGCAGCGTTGCTCGCCCTGCCCGGCGCGATGGGCACGTAACCCTGGCGGTACAGAGCTGGGACCTGGCGAGATCGCAGGGGCAGCCGCGGCAGCACGGGCGGCAGCGGTGGGAGAGGGCGCAGCGGCAGCGGCAGCGGCAGCAGCAGCAGCAGCAGCGGCAGCAGCAGCAGCGGGGGCAGCAGCAGCGGCAGCAGCAGCAGCAGCAGCGGGGGCAGCAGCAGCGGCAGCAGCAGCGGCAGCGGCAGCAGCAGCAGGCAGCAGCAGCAGCAGCGGCAGCAGCAGCAGCGGGGGGCAGAGGCGGCGGCGCGCCGCAGCGGGAGGCAGAACGGGGGGGGGGGGGGGGGCGGGGGTCGGGGGGGTCGGGGCAGGGCGAGGGGGGGCAGCAGCGCGGAAGGGGAAGGGGGGGTCACTCCCCTCCTCCTCCTCCTCCTCCTCCTGCTCCTGCTCCTCCTCCTCCTCCACCTAGGGGGTAGGAGAAGCAGGAGAGGGTGATGCAGAGGGGGAGAGCCCCGAGGAGGCCCAGTGGGAAGAGAAAGGTAGGAAGGACAGTGAGGGTGAGGATCATCAGGCCATGCACCATCAAGCGGGCAATGCGAGCGCGTAGTGAGTGATAGCAACGACAAGGGACAAGGATGACGACAAGGTGAGGAGCATGACAGAGGGGGCGGAGTGATGATAGAGGGAGTAGACGGGAGGAGCAATGAGTGAGGAATAATGATGAAATAGAATTCGATCGATCGAGCAGTCAAGACACATTCGGGGCTACATCGAGTCGGCTAGGGCGGCGAAGCGTTCAAACAACCAGTATGGCCTGCCTGCGGTCGCTATGTAAGCAAAAGAAAAGAAGAGGATGGCACCAAGGAGATGCAGGATCAGGAAGAGGATGCGTAGGAGGGGGAACAACAGGAGAAAGGCACAGCTTCCCGGAACAGCGGGCTCAAGACATGAGACGGACGAGGGAAGAAGAGGCAGGAATCGACCGAGCGGGAGCGAATTGGAGAGAAGGATCGGGCCCCACCGGCGTAAGCAGTTGTTTTCCTTCCCAGGGGACATGGTGCGGCCCCTTGTTCGTCCAGGGAAACTGGCTGGCCACCGCCTCGTTGGCCTGGGAGGCGCGAAGCCAACCCTCATCCTCGCGGCGGTGTGCGCGGGGGGGGGGAGGCACGTCCGCTGCAACAGCGAAAGGACAGCTCAAAAGCCCAAAGCATGGAACCAAATCATCACCAACGTCCTCGGTTTCCTCTTCCTGCCTCTCCACATCCTGTTCCACCTTCTCTCTCCCGTCATCGTTCCCCCCAGTACCTCCTCCTCCTCCTCCTCCTCCTCCTCCTGGTCCTCCTTCTCCTCCTCCTTCTCATCCTCCTCCTCCTTACGCCCCTTCCCTCCAACCCGCCTCCTCGTCATCGTTCCCTCCGCTCCCTTCATCTCCTCATCATGCCCACCTCCTCCCCATCCTCCTCCTCCTTACCTATCTGCATCCCTTTTCCACCTGCCTCCCCGCACCCCCACTGGCGTCCTCCCGCCCCTGTGCGCGGCACAATTAGCTCGATGTGTAAGCTTGAGCATGCGCTTCTGGTGAGCCTTTTCAGCTTTTGCACGTACGTCACCTTGCTTTAGAATTCACCCTGGACGGACGTAACCTTACCGGGCTGGCATGCATGTATGATGGCATTACGCTGGGCCTCGTTCTGAGTTGAGGCTGAGTCCCAACCGTTGCCCTGGCATTCGCCCCAGATCGAAGTACACCGTTGGCGTACTCGTTGGATGCACCTCCAGATGCAGCGTGATTGAACATGTGATTCGCTTCGCGCGGTATCAGCTTGGCAGTGGCTGAAGCATGCACCTCAAGTATACTTAGTTGTGATTCTAGTCAAGGCGGCAGGTCTGTCACTAGGAACGACGTGTTAGCTTCACCCCTAGCCGAGTATAAACGTGACCTGGCCGACTTCATCTGGTCTTAGCGATTCCTGCGTGTGGCCTTCAAGCTCCTAAGACTGGCGGGGCTTGGCTTGCCCTGGCTCGTACCAGCTGGCGCACACGTCCGAATCAATGTGTACATATCCCGTTCGCTTTCGTGCCAGCTGCAGCATGAGCTTTAGGCTTCGCTGGGAAATCACATACGCCGAAATGCTAGCGAGGGGCATTTCGTACAAGTCACCTTTTCGTGTGAAATAGTGTGGTGTCAATCAAGTGCGGCTACGCGCGGGACGAGGGAGGGAAGGGGAGGGGAGGGAGGAGGGGAGGGGAGGGAGGAAGGACGAGAGGAGAAACAGTGGAGGGAAGAGGGACGAGAGAGGAGAAGAAGAAAAAAACGATCAAGATGAGGAGGACTCCGCGTCCGATTGGGGTGCGCCCCGCATTCGCTGTCTCTCTGCAGGCTCATCCGTGAGGACCCCTCATACTCCTTCTCCTCCTCCTCCTCCTCCTCCCCCTGCTGCTCCTCCTCCTGCTCTGCGCACCCTCCCTGGCCGCTGCCGCATGTCCGGCGGCGGAGGGTGCTGCAGGTGCGCGGTGGACTCGACGTGGCCCTGGAGGCGCTGGGCGAGGGGGCACAACAAAGAGTACCGGGGATGCAGTCCCAGACCTCCATCGTCTTGAGAAGTTAAGACTCGTCGTCGTGTTCGGCGTCAGGGCGCCCCCGCCAGGCCATGGGAACGTCAATCAACTATGCCGGACGAAAAACGGGTCCCCGGGATGTGGACATCGAAGGTCTGGGGTGAACGAAGAACGGGGGCAGCCGCAAATCCCACCAGCCCTCTGGCCGTAGGTGGTTTAGGGAGTCTCCTCTTCCACCCCTCCTTCTTCCTCTTCGGGGAGGGGTTGATCACTGTTCCCTATTCATATACACCCCCTCCCCGAGGCGACTGGGAGCCAACCCAGGTACATGCGCCCCCCCCACACCATCCCTTGTAAAAAAACACTACAAAACACACTCTGCCCCCACCATCCCTTGTAAACAACAATGCAAAACAAACTCTGTCTCCAAATTCGGAACATGCGCAACGAACCCGATGCGGCCTCCCCCCATCATCCCTGTCAAAAAAACAATACAGAGTACACTTGGCGGCGGCGGCGGCTGCAGCGGCTGCGGCGGGGGCAGCGGCGGCGGCGGCGGTGGCGGTGGCGGCGGCGGGGCGCGGCGGCGGCGGCGGCGCGGTGGCGGTGGCGGCGGCGGCGGCGCGGCGGCGGCGCGGCGGCGCCGCGGTGCGGGGCAAGCAGCGGCTGCGGCGGCGGGCGGCGGCGGCGGCGGCGGCGGCGGCGGGCGGCGCGGCGGCAGCGGCGGCGGCGGCGGCGGCGGAGGCAGCGGCGGCGGCGGCGGATTGGCCCCCAGTGGCTGGCCATCCAAAGACGACTGCTGCATATGCTGGGGCTCGGGCCAGGCTCGGGTGCTACGTATGTGTTGGGAAGGCGGGTGGGAGTGAACGAGACGGCTTGCGGGCGGGGGGGAAACTCTTGACCCCTCCCCCTACCCCCTCCCCTGGAACTGGGCAGGGGGTTCCGCGAGTCGCCGGAGCGTCCAAACCGGCCTCGGCGAGGAAGCGAACATCATTGGTTTTACTAGGGTTTTGGCCCCATTTTGGCCTCCTGAGGGGGCGACGTACTGCCACAATATTTAAGTGTACGTGCGCAAGTCTCAATACATGACAGGCAAAGACTACAGTGTATGAGAGTTCTCCGCCCTCGCTCACCAGAGCTGGCTCGGCGCACAACCAACACCGCATGCATTTACACGTATGACCAAAAAAACACCCAAAGCTTCGTGACCTGCTCCCATCCAGAATTACCATGTATATCCTCACACTGGAAAACACCACTTCTACTGCCAGTTGCAAAAACCAACCCCAACCCCCTGCACGTTCACGACACATCCGTCAGCGTGCCGCAGGCACCGAGTAGAGTGTCCTCAGGTATGTTCGTGTTCTCTGTATTTAGTCTCGCACAACATATTATTTGAATTCAGGGGGGCGGGAGCCCTTGTTCACGGGCGCTTTCGGGCGCTTCAAGGCGCGCTCGGGGCGGCTCCCGCGACTTGTTCACTGGCCTCAAGAGCGTGGCTGGGATCGGAAAACACGCCCAATCTGGACTCAGATTGTCTCCAAGCCGGTTCTGGAGCAACGTTGGCGCATCTTGGGCCGTCTTGTAGGCCCTCAGGGCCGGCCCAAAAGGTTTTAATCATTGTAAAGGAAGGTCTTTCTGGGAGCTTAGCATACTTACCGTCTCTGTCTTTTAAGGCGCCCGAAATAGCCCGAGGCCCCTAAGATCGACCCGAGACGGCCTCCAATCCCCCAGGAGGGGCGCAAACAAAAACCCAAGACGGCCCCAACAGGGGCTTGCGAGGAGGAGCGCTGACATATGGAGCCCTGTTCCCCAAGATGGCCCCCGAGACTACAAGAAGGCAAACAAGAGACCCTCATGACCTTCAAGAATCAAGAAGGTCTAAAGAAGCCACCTAGGGTCCCCCACGAGGCCTTCCGAGAGACCCCCAGAAGCCTTTAAGAGGTCTCTGGCCCACAAGTCAGGAACGGTGGCGGGTTGGGCCGAAAGCCAACAAACAAGTTTACATGTGTGTCGAGGGTGCATACCACATTGGGTGAGTTTCACGCGTTCAACAAAGCATCTGCATTCAATGCCGCACGGCAGCCGGCGCGGTAGAAGGTGAGCTTGCGCGGCAAGTCTGCCGCAACCTCCCAACCCCCAGACACGAGGCAGTGTCCCCAGACGCCGCACCGCAGCCCACACTAAACCGAACCAGGGCAAGCCCCGAACCACGTGGCAAGAAGGACCCCCCCGAAATGGCTTCTGCCGATTCGTCCTTGCGACCCAATAAGGGGGTCCAACTGAAAGGAGGTGGTGCAGTAGATTTGGGGCAATTGTACTGCAGATGTATTGCGCCAGAGACTTGTGCTGCATCGTGTTGCAGGCAGCGTATTGCCCGCGAGGCGCCCCGGAACGTATTGCACGCCCCAGATTTGCTGCAACCCCACAAAGCTACTGCACCGCTCCCCCCTTTGGGCCTCCTCCTCCTCCTCCGCCTCCTCCTCCTCCTCCTGGTCCTCCTCCGCCTCCTCCTCCTCTTCCTCCTCGAGCGTAGCAGGGGGGCGCACCGAGTCTTCCGTCAGCTCTACGACGCGGTACTGCAGCTCGACCGCTCGACCTGATATCGAACTGTCGGCAGTACAGACCTGGCCTGAGACATCGAATCCTCCTCCTCTTCCTCCTCCTCTTTGGAATTCGGCCGCCTCGCCGCAGCTCGTGCCCCGGGGGGGGGGGCCGATCCAGCCGCGCGCGTCGCGGGCCGTGCGCCTCCGGGGAGCAGCTCCGGGGCGGTGGGCTGCGGAGGGAGGCCGTGCGCCTGCGGTGGCGACGGCGTCCCTCTGCTCGCGGGGGCGAGCGGCCCTGCCAGACCAGCAAGGGCGCCGTGCCCGACAGTGGGAGCCCCCTCGACGAGCAGGTGGCGCACAGAGCCTCGCGGCCACCCGTGAACTCCCACCGGCCCTGTGGACGTAGCCGGCTACTTATCCTGATTCCCCCTGGGGGGAGTATCACTACTCGCCACCTGATGCGGTCCTTATCGGCCGGCGTGCCGTGGGCACTGAGTGCAGTGTGTTCGCAGGTCTTCCCCACGCCTCTGAAGTGGATCTTGTCTATACAGTCAACCAGTATAGTAAGGATGCGCGATAAGGATGCAAGGGCCTTGGACGCCCATTTCGAAGCTTTTCGAGCGGAGCGCGGCCAGCGAAAGCCAGCAAGGGCGCCAGCCGAATACAGCCAACCAGTATAGTAAGGATGCGCGATAAGGATGCAAGGGCCTTGGACGCCCATCGCGGGGACGGGCGGCCTTGCCAGACCAGCAAGGGCGCCAGCCGAACACAGCCAACCAGTATAGTAAGGATGCGCGATAAGGATGCAAGGGCCTTGGACGCCCATTTCGAAGCTTCTCGAGCGGAGCGCGGCCAGCGAAAGCGGCGAAGGATGGGCCGAGGAGGCAAGGATGCAAGGGTACCCTTGGGAAGGTTGCCCATCCTTACTGTGCGGGTTGACTGTATACAGTGGCGCGGACTCGCGTCTCTCTTCCACGTGCCGAGCTCTGGAGATCTCCAGGGGACGCACCGAGACACACTGATACTACGCGTTCTCCTTGGAGGCACGCGTCCGACCCGAACAGATGGTATACCCATCTTGCAGTAGATCGTTTCCCGAGCGGTGTGGCCAGAACGCGCCCGCCACGACGCATATACCGCGCGTCGCCCCTGTGGGGGGCGACGAGCATACAGCGTAAGCATGTTGGGGTGACGCCGATTCCAGGGCGCTGGCGGTGGCCTCTGCGTGGAGGATCTGCTCTCACCTCCGCAGGCTTCTGCCAGGATCCCCTCGGCGCAGCCGCCGTTACGTCGGGTGTGACTACCTACCAGACCACCCCAACCCAACCCGAAGACCCGAATTTCGGTGTTTTTTCGATGTTCCCGGACCCCCACCCCACTAGAAATCGAGGGTAAATCTGAGCCTTCGGGTTGGGTTGGGGTGGTTTGGTGGGTGGTGAGGTGCGGTGCGGTGACGGCCCGTGCGGTGACCTCGGGATCCCAAAAGGACATCACCGCCAGGGTCCGTGACCGCACGTCTGGGGCTCCGGAGGGCCCCAATCGCACGAGGCGCCCTCGGAGAGCGGCCCGGGCCCCAAGACTGTGCGGCCGCCCCGAATCCCCACGGGCTCACCGCACGGCGCGGTTACCGCACGGCTTCGAAGCCCCACGAGAGACAGCTCGGGGAGGTGGATGCGGCTTCACACGAAGCTGTGACCCTCAGGCCTTTTTTTTCGGAGGGAGAAGATGGGAGCGGACCGCATGATTCAAGAACCACCGTCGGGACGCGAAAGCCGGTTGCACTTGAAAGCCGTTTTCTTCCTCACCAAGCGAGTGTGACCCTCAAGCCTTGCTGCGAGCCTTAGTCTCGAGGCCCCTGTCCTCCCGCCACCCGCCACCCCTCCGGGCCACAACCCGCACCCCCCCCTGCCTACGATCGGCCTCTCCCAGAGCCTTCCCGCTTTCCACTTTCCACCCTCCGCCCAGGCTTCAATCGGGCCTGTCCCCCTACAGGGGGATTTTCGACGAAAGATAAAAATACCCAAACAATAAGCCAAGAATAATCCCAAAATAGTCTGGAGACTATGTTTGGACCATTTTTGCTCTTTCTGGGGTATTTTGGGGTATTGGTTATTTTTCGTCGAAAATCCTCCCGTAGGGGGACACGCCCGACATAAGCCCAGGCCCCGACCCGAGGACCCGAGCCCTGAGGCCAGACCGCCAGACTCTGAACTTGCACACCCCGAACCCATGCAGTGAGATTGCTGAGCGCAGGAATCCTCAGTGAAGGCGCCTGGCACCCCACGGCAGGCCCCGGAGGCGAACCCTGAAGTATTTGCAGGCTCCGGAGCGGGCCCCGCCAGACTACACCAGGTGAGGAGCCCCCGAAGTCGGGGTGCCGACCTCCTGAGTCGTTGATGACAGAATGGCTCCACCACGGCAATCCTGAACACACCCCTCGCCCAGCAGAGCCTCAACAGAAACCAGATGGACGTAGTGTGAACGTCAGGAGGTCCGCTCGGATCTCTTTGGTCTGCGTTGGACACCCCCTAGCGGCGGCTCCAGTTCCGCCCCTAGCAAGCTTCGCGCGCCATGGGAGGGGCGTCCATTGCCGACCCAAGAACTCCGCCTGGACATCCGACAAAAGTTGACGCTCAGATCCTCTGCCTATCGCTGAGATTCCCGTTCCCGCGCCCCGAACTCTGGACCCGACGCCGTGCGCCCCAAGCTGCGATGACGCCATTTTACTGGGACAAAACTGGACCGGGACAAGTGGGTGACCTCCGAGCTCCGGCGGTTCTGGAGGCTGTATCGGACGCCGCGGCCGCGTCAGAGCGCTGCAGAACGCTCTGACAGCGTTCTAGGAAAGCTTGGCGGCGCGCACAGAGGGGTGGAGGGAGAAGGAAGGGCTTCTTAGACGGAGGCTGCTTCTTAGAAGGCGCCGGCCTCACATCTACAGATGAGGCCCGCGCCTTCCAAGAAGCAGGGGTGCTTCTAAGAAGCCCTACCCCCTCCCCCCACCCCCACCCTGCGCGTGGCTGGAAAGCCCTGGAACGATGCATCCCGGCCCTATGGCTCCGCCCGACAGGCCCGACGAGCCTGCCCCCCAGCGCCCGGCGTCTACCCAGCCCGCCGGCCGCGTCCTGGTCGAAAGCGTCCTGGCCGTGCCCGGACGAGCTCCCTCCTCGCGTAAGGAGCGCAGTGGCCACATACGATAAGAGGCGCTACCAGAAGCATTCGAGGGGCACAGTCGTCGTTGGCCTTGAACTTTCTGCGGTGCTCAGGTGCTGCTGCGGCTCCCAGGGGCCATCGGGGAAAAAGAAATCCCCGTGGGGCACCTGCAAGCAGGCCAGCTTCTTGTGAGACGTGCTGACTGTACGAGGACGAGGAAACGGGCCAAAGAGAGGACCAGGAGGGGCGGGGGGCAAAATGTGGAGCGCAAAGCTGTGCTCGGTCTGCTCCGCTCTATCGCTGGCCGCTCCGTGGCAGGTCTGCGGACAGGGCGAGCCGCGTGAGCGATGGTCTTGGCTCGGTTCCGCCTGCGGGGGTCACGAAGCGCCACCACGGCCTCCGCGCGAAGCGCCACGGGGGAGGGAGGATGAAAGGCGCGCTTGGCCAGGGGAACCTCGGGGGGATAGCAGGACTGCAGAAATGTCCTGGCAGCCAGAGAAGCTGGCCGCATCTGAAGCAGCGACCGAGGCCTCAACGCAGGTCCGAGCACACCCAAGAGTGCACCCCAAATGAGGGCTGCGCACTCCTTGGTACCCGGCGCGGTGCGTGCTTCAGGCGAGGAGGGTGGCCGTGCGGGTAGAGGAGCCGGAGAAACGACGATGCGCGCGTGGCAGTGCGAGGGCACGGCGCGAACTCGGAGGGCACGCAGACTGGAGCGATCTACCACGAGCGCGAGGGCGGCGAGGCGCGGCGCGCGCCAGAGGCGCAGAAAGTGCACGTCCCTGGAGATCCCAGGCCACCTGGGGAAGCCAGAAAGGCACCGCTACCGCTGCTTCCCCGCCCTCGGTGGAGGAGGAGGGGGAGGAGGAGGAGGAGGAGGAGGAGGAGGAGGAGGAGGAGGAGGGAGGAGGAGGAGGAGGAGGAGGAGGGGGAGGAGGAGGGAGGAAGGAGGAGGAGGAGGAGGAGGAGGAGGAGGGGGAGGAGGAGGGGAGGAGGGAGGAGGAGCCCATGGGCCACCTGGGGAGGCGCCGGGCCACACGGCTGCGGGGGAAGCCAGAAAGGCACCGCTACCGCGGCTCCCGGGGAGCTCTCCCGGGGTGCGCTCCGACTGGGACTTCGAGGGGCGAAGCCAGCGGTGGCGACGGCGGAGGCCCAGGAGACCCCGAAAGGGGGAGGAGAAGCAGGACACGGAGGAGGAGATGGAGGAGGAGGGGGAGGAAGAGGAGGAGGACGAGGAGGAGGAGGAGGAGGAGGAGGAGGAGGAGGAGGAGGAGGAGGAGAGGGAGGAGGAGGACGAGGAGGAGGAGGAGGAGAGGGAGGAGGAGGACGAGGAGGAGGAGGGTAGAGGTATGGGTACCTGTTCCTCCTCGGAGTTGCCGCGGCACCGTGGGCTGCAGCCCCGCCGCCGTGCCCCCGCTCACCAGGGCGGCGCCGCCTGCTCGCACCGTCCCGGGGGGTTCGAGCTCCCAGGCAGACCACGACTGCTGAGCCTGGCCTTGCCCGAGGCCGGAGGAGGGAAGAACGGAGAGAGTCAGTGAAGGGCCCTGGGACACACAAATAAATACACACAAATAAAAATATGCCCCATACTCTCCAATAGTTTCTGGGTTTTTGTCTTCCCCCCCACTTCCCATATTTTCCCATATTTTCTGGGGGATCGACGGTGAATTGTGTCTGTGTGTTTCTTTCCCTCCTGAGTCAGGGCCGCCTTAACCTTAAGTCGGGCGTGTCCCCCTACAGGGGCACTTTTGACGAAAAATAGAGCTAACTCCAAAAATACGTCAATAATATCAAAAGATAATCCAAAAGTCGTCCCCTGACTATCTTTTATTATTTCTGAACGTTCCCCCTGCCCGAGGCCGGAGGGGAGGGAAGAATGGAGAGAGTCAGGGCCGCCTTAACCAGGACATTGCTGACGAGGACTTTCAAGAAAGTCCAGCTGGAAGGACCTGAGAGTGGCGAGTGTTTCGACCTGCGGCTTCAGTTTCCTCGAACGCGCCTGTGTCCAGGCCCTGAGAAAGGGGAGTGAGCAGCTCTCCGGAGGCTGCTCGGACGGCGACGCCGACAGCGCGTCGGATTTCGAGCACAGCTCCCTGGCTGCGGCCCCGTGGGATCCCCTCTCCTGCTTGCATCTCTGTCTGCCTGCTGTTCTTAAGCACTCCTCCTTCACCTCCCCAGCATGAATGCGCGGGACTCCCAACAACCCAAAAATCAGAGACTTCGTATGGGAGGGACACTCTGGAACTATGGTGGGGGTCGTTCGGCTCACTGGCTGGCTGTTTCTGTCCAGCGGTCTTCGGGCGTACCCATGTTTGGCCTCTCGTGACCGTGGCTCGTGCGGTTTGCTCTCACGGGAGCGGCGGATTCCACCTGCGTCCAAGGCAATTATCGCGCACGGCTTGGCGTAATCCAATGACCGGACCTGGGCATCATGAAGCAACAGAAACATGTCATCTCGGCTACACGCACGCAAGAGTGACCCTAGGCAAGAATGACCTTTGCTGCACGGTTTAACGGGGGACGCGGGGTGGCCAAACCTGGGCGCGCAGGCCGCTGCTACCGCTTGGCGTTCGGCGATCGGTGGACCCCATTGGGGCCGCATCAAAGGTCACTCCGGCGAAAGGTCGTTCTTACGTCTAGTCGATCATCTCCTGGGGAGGCATTTTTTTTTGGGTGTGTGTGTGTGTTTTTTCTTCTCCCCTCCCCAAGGCAAATCCGATTCCCTCCATGGGGGCTATACCCGTCCACAACAAAATACGATCGTGTTCGATTGGCCGGCCGGGTTACTGTCACCGCAAATCTCGGCGACAGGCACGCTCAACGAATGGTGAAACGATCTTATGAGGACAACCTAGGGCAGACAAACCGTACAGGATCACCTCTCCTCTCCGCTGGCCGTGCGCCAGCGAAGCCGCTCCCGTGCCGCTTCCGCCGTCGGCGGGGGCGCTCAACGTGCCGACCTCCGATCGAGGCCTGCCCCCCAGCACGCTGGGAGCGAGCCCCCCACATATCACCCAGCGATAACTACAAATCGCCCCACACACACACACACACACACACACACACACACACACACACACACACACACACACACACACACACACACACACACCACACACACACACACCGCCCAGGGAGTATTACAAATTTCTGCCTCCTGCTGCTGCTGCTGCTGCTGCTATTCCCGCATGCTTCGGGGATCGTTATGGAAAGCTGGGGCCACTCGATCCACTCGTGCGTCGATGCTGCGTCGGATGTCCGTCGACTGGAGCCGAAGCTGAATAGAACTCGGGTCGAACTGGCGTCGAGCTGGAGTCGAACCAGAGTCGAGCTAGAGTCCGACTGATCCATCAAGTGGACCCCACGAAGGTCCCCCAAACGACCATCTACACGTCGTTCATGTCTAATCGTGCTCATTTCTAATTGTGTTCGTTTCTATTTGTTCCTGGCCCCCTAGTGGCCAGGAAGAGGCCCAGGACAAAACAATCCTACCAGCCCTCTGGGCGCAGGCGGTCTAAAGCGTTGTCGTGTCCAACCTCCTTCCTTTCCCCGCTCGGGAGGTTTACCTCCCCCCCCCTCCCTGCGTATGGGCGGGCTCCCCCCGCGAGGTGTCAGAGGGCCCTTTTCGGCCCAAGATGGCTCCAAGAGGGCTTGAGAGAATGCGAGATGGCCTCCAAGATGGCCCAAGAGAGCGGTAGATGGCTCAAGATAGCCTCCGACACGCATCCAAGAGGCCCCAAGACGGCCCCAAGACGGTTTCAAGTGCCCTCCGAGCCCCCCGAGGACTCCCCCAAGAGGCCCACATCCTTCAAAAACCTAAGAAACATCAATGTTGTTTGCCTTCTCGCTTGTTCGCCTCCGATGGGCTTTCGAGGCCTCAAGATGGCCCCAAGACGGCCCAAGATAGTCCCACGAGGGGCCCAAGAGGGCCCCAAGAGGCCCCTCAGGCATCCCAGAAGAAACCCAACAAGGCTCCCAGGCCCCCTAAAAGAGCCCAGAAAGGGCCCCAAGACACCCCAAAAGAGCCCCAAGAAGCCCCAAGAAGGCCCTGAGAGGACATCAAGGTAGCCCCAAGACAGAGCCCCAGGAGGCTCCAAGAGGGGCCCAAGAGAATCCGAAGAGAGCCCCAAGATGCCTCCAAGATTCGGAACGCACGCGAGTTTAAGATACAGATCAGTGCAACAGCCATTACAAGTCATCGGAACACCTCTCACCCCTCATCGAAACACCGTCGTAGCTTGCACTAGTTCCCATCTTAAACTTCAAAGCGGGAAGCTATGTGTGATCCTTATTTGCCCGAAGACGGCTGCGCGACTGCATGCGTCCTGCCACCCCTGATTTACCAACTCCCCTGCTGATCGTTTCTGGATGGGCTGGTGGGGATATATATATATATATATATATATATATATATATATATATATATTTGTGTTACCAGCCGCAGGCGAGCGCGCCGACGGCGTGTCAAGGACCGAGCGGGCCGCGCGAGGTCCTAAATTACCTAGCGCACGCAGGCCTACCGCCGCAACTCAGGTCGGGACCAGGAGGTAGCCGAGGGAGGGGGCAGAGCTGCAAAACTGCCAGGGGCTGCAAACGTGCATCGAGCTGCAGGCGCGCTGCTGACTGCCAGGGGCTGCTGACTGCCAGGGTCTGCAAGCTGCCAGAGGTGAATTGAACTGCAAAACGACGCTGGTGGGGATACGCGAGCGAAGCGTCAATACTCAGAAATGAAAGGATCGTGGCCCCCAAAAAAAATCAAAGACCTCTCGAAGAATAAGAAAGGAGCCATGCGTGAGCATTGCTCCTTCCCCTGGTGGGGCTCGTTGCTGCCACAGCGGGCGCACGATGCGAGGAGGCATTGGCGCAGGGCGGCAGGCGGCGCTCCTGAACCCATCGCGCCGCGCCGGGCCGGGCGCGCGCGAAGGGCAACCACACCCTCCCCGGCGCGCCGCGGAAGGGAAGCCAGAGGCTCAACGGCGCTCGACACCCCTCCCTGGCGCGCGCACCTCCGAAAAATCATGCTTGTGCCGCGTTTGTTACTGATTCGAGCCTATCATGCTGTAGTTCGCCTCCATCATCGCTGGGGAGCAGAACGCGGCCACGCTGATCACCTCGGGGATCTTCTGACCCGGGTCAATCCCGACCCGGGTCAGTCAGGCTCTGCAGGATCCTGCAAGATGCTGCATGCAAGCCCAGGTCGATGCGAAGGGTCCTGCAAGATCCTGCAGGATCCTGCACCCAGACCCGGGTCAGTGCGACCCTGGCCCTGCAGGCTCCTGCAAGATCGGGCGCTCTGGCTGACCCCCGTTTGCACTGACCCCCGTATCAAGGCTCCCGAAGAAGGAGGAAGCTTGTTGGCCACGCTGCCGGTGATGGACCACAGAGGGGGAGGAAGAGATCAGTCGAGCACGGCCTCGAGGGGGTCCATCCCATGCTGCCTGAGAACCCGAGGACAAGAGGAGGCCCCCCCCCTACCCCCCCACCTCCCGCGTCCGCACGCGCAGAACTCGGGGGGGCGACGGTGGGGGCCAATGGCCCAGGGGAGAGCACTAGGTGTATCTAGGCGCGCCAATGGTCCGTGCCTTCGGCGAAGCTTCCCGGGCGAATAACGTGCACTGCTCGCCCCTGGGCCATTCTCCCTAAGGGCTTGTCGACTTTTCGCCAATCGACTTGTGAGAATCGAGCCAGATAAACCCAGGTAAATGCAGATAAATCGAGGTAAATCCAGGTCAATCCAGGTAAATCTAGATAAATCTGGGTAAATCCAGGTAAATCCAGAGATCTCCAGGGAAAGTTCGAGCACTTCGCGGCCGCTCCAGCGCGAGTCGAAGGACGGCAGAAGTCGTT